CCCCCCCGCAGAGAGAATGCTAGCATCTCTGTACATGATTATGGAGTCATGCATCTACAGAAACCCATGGCAGTAAGGAAGTGCTAGAAAATACATAGAGAAAAGTAAAGGAATACATTATGAAAATTTTCTGTATAAACTAGTTTAAAGACTTCATACTATAGTTTCCACTTTAAATGTACTGAGATATGAATTGATATTTTGCTGCTGATGGACAAAGCACAGTACCTTATGGTAGGTGTAGTGGCTCAAGCCTGTAATCTTAGCTACTTGGGAAGTGGAAATCCAAAGGGTTTTAGGGCAAGGTCAGCTAGGGGAAAACAATGAGATTCCATCTCAACTAATAAAAAGCTAGGTGCCACGGCATACACCAGTCATTTCAGTCACACGTGAAGTGTAGATAGGAGGATGGTGGTCCAGGTAGGCCCTGGCCTAAAGGTGAGACTGTACTAAAAATAACTGAAAAGAAGAGGAATGAGGGTGTAGCTTAAGTAGTAGAGCATCTGCCTGAACACAACCCAGAGGTACCATTATATCCCTATCAAAGCCACAAATCCAGTGATAACATCTTATAATGGCAAAGCTGAAGAAATGGATTGATTTCATGATGACTTGTGTATCCGTGCTGGCTCTTGGAGCCCAATCAAGCAATCTCTCTCAAGGACTATAAAGTTGTTTGCATGCTTTGATCAAATAGTTCCAGATCCCAGAGGCAGAGATTTCTTTTCTAATGGCAAAATGTTTATAAGAAAATCAGTTATAAAACACATAAAGAGAAATGAAAAATGTACATTATTGTTGAGAAGGACACACATATGAAACGTGAGCAGTCAGAATGCAGAACTGTGTTCTCAGCTGACCACTGTGTTATAGACCTGCATATGGGATGGATGAGGTTGAGAGAGATGGGGCAGGGGAGGAATGAACGGGATGACATTAATCAAGAATCGTTGTGCTCATAGACTGACATGTTGAATTGCAATCCCTTTGTAAAATGACATCAAGAGAATAAAGCTATTCTAAAAACAAACAAGCTCAGATATGAACATTAATACCAAATATAATTTCAAGTGAGAGAGTTTGTTCAATTTATAGAGCACTGGCTACTCACCAGGTGTTCTGCGTGGTCCTTGGAAATAAGAGAAAAAGATGTTTTCATATATACTTGTGTAAATGTAAAAACTTTCCAATGTGGTAAGTGTTCCCAAAATAAATGCAATGCTAGAATGTCAGAAGTGATTAGCATGTGTGGCAGACACAGTTGTCAGCACTTTGCATACAGCTTGAGTAATTTTCCCGGTAAGCTTTGAGCATGCAATGATAATCATCTCATCTGCAGAGCAGGAAGCTTCAATCCTCCACACTGTAGGCTCACCACTTCCTCCAACTCCCAGGCGGTCAGCTCATCAGCGGAAATCCTGCCAGTTGCAAATACATTTGCCCAGGTCAATTCTGAGTAAGGTCCCAGCTCAGATTCTGAATAAGAAGTCCAAGAACTCTTGCCCCCTCTGTCCTACTTTGCTACTGAAGTTCTGGCCATCTGGTTCCCCTGCCTTAAATCGCTGGTCACCACTTGGCAATCTACCACTGTCAGGGTCTGGTGTCCTCAGGATCATTGCTAGGGTATTGCTGCAATTCTGTCTGATGACTTCAGACCTCAGTGATGGGAGCCAAGCTCTTAGGTCCCGAAGCCATGGACTCCTTGACTCCTCCCCTTCTGTCTATGGATGTTCTACCACTCTTATCACCTTCATCCCCTGGCATCAGCAGAGAGCTGGATACTGAGTGGCCTGCATTGCAAGCTGTGCCCAGAGCCCTGGAACCACCAGACCAAGAGGGCAAGTCCAGCTTTCTTAAGGACTTGAAAAAAATCATTTATGTTATTCGAAAGATAATGTACAAAAGGATTACAGTTACATAAAGAGTATATTTACATAAAGTTACATACAGTTACATAAAGAGTACATTTCTGTCTTTCTTTCTTTTGCTGGTCATGGGGCTTGAATTCTCTGGGCCCAGGTGCTGTCCCTCAGCTCTAGGCTAGAGCTCTACCACTTGAGCCACAGCGCCACTTCCAGTTTTCTAAGTGGTTTATTGGAGATAAGAGTCTCAGGGACTTTCCTGCCTGCACTGGCTTTGAACTGCGATCCTCAGATCTCAGCCTCCTGAGTAGCTAGGATTATAGGCATGCAAGTACATTTCATTTTGAACAATGTCACCCCTTCCCTTGCTCTTTCCCAGTTTTTCCTTCCCATCCCCACCCACAAGTTGTGTCCTTCATTTTCCACATAGTATCCAGTGAGTACCTCTGCTGCATTTGTTTACCCTTTGTCCCTCCATTTACGCAGATAAATGAACAAACAAGACAAAAGGAAATGAGAACAAAAACAGCTACAAAGAAAAAAACCTCTTGTTTCTGCTTCCTGGAGTTGATTTTGATGAATATTATTATTTTTGGGGGGGGGTGTCCAGTCATGGGGCCTGAACTCTGGGCCTGGGTGCTGTCCCTCAGCTCTTCAGCTCAAAGCTAGCGTTCTACCACCTGAGCCACAGCGCCACTTCCGGCTTTTTTCTTTTTGCTTATGTGGTGCTGAGGAATCGAACCCAGGGCCTCATGCATGCAAGGCAAGCGCTCTACCACTGAGCTACCTTCCCAGCCCCCGATGAATCTTATTTTGTATGGTCAGATACACATAGCTATTGCTCCTTTGTGATCCTCTCCTAAGAATATCCTCATTTGGTCTCACTGTGTGAATGCCTAGAGACCTGTATGATTTTTCATGTCCCAACCATGTTCATTGCAAGATATGGAATCAACCCCGACCCCTCAGTGGACAAATGGATCAAGAAAATGTGATATATGCACACAATGGAAATCTACTCATCCATCAGAAAGAATGACATTGCTCCATTTGTAAGGAAATGTTAAGACTTGGAAAAAGCTGTATGAAGTACGCCTGACCCAAAGAAATACAGGTTGCATGGTTTCCCTCATGTGTAGTAACTAGAATGTCCCTGTAAATCTTGCCTTTGTGATCCTGCTTCAGCTTCTGCTTCAAAGTGGTTGCACATTTACGTGTCAGACTCTTCGAATAAGATGGGTGCGGGACTCTGCAGAGCCCTGCAGATGCCTCCACGTTCAGGAGCACGCGGAGGGGCACCGTGCGCACCCCGCACAGGGCGAAAGGGAGGCTCCACGGACCGCAGCAGGCCTCGCCGCAGGGCTCTGGGCGGGGAACACGGGCCTCCACTTGCCTCCGAATTTTCTGGAATTGGATTGCTTTTTTCAGTCTTTTCAGGGCTCTGGGGAGAGCACCCCAGGGCAGAAGCTATGCATGGAGGCAAAGGCAACCCGGCCACCCTGGCGGACTGCACGGCGCTCTGTGCATGGCCCCGCAGTCCAGCGCTGGGACTACAACCGCACTGAGCATGCGCCACTCCGCACACGGGCCGCGGCAGTGTCACTAGGAAGGAAGGGACTGGTCCCAAGGGGTCGGAGACGACCCTGCCCCTGCGCCCACAGATGGCCTGGAGCCCGGGAGCCCACCCCGCTCAGGCCCCGGGCTAGCACCTCGCCACTCCCTGTAGCTCCTGCTCCCCAGGCTCCCTGTTGGAATCGGGCCTGACTCTGGGACTCCGAATGGGCTGGGGGTTCCCTCACCCCTGGGGGTCGCGAACCCATAGCAAGCACAGGGGTTGCCCTGGCTGCCCGTGGCACAGGCCATGTCAACACCACCAGAATTAATATGTCAATGGATTGCCGTTTCTTAAAAATTTATTCACTATTGTTATGCATACCAGTGCTGGAGCTTGAACTCAGGGCCTCAGGCCCTGGCTTGGCGCGCGCGCGCGCGCGCGCGCGTGTGTGTGTGTGTGTGTGTGTGTGTGTGTGTGTGTGTGTACTCACTTGCGCATGCTCCATATTGAGGCTTAAATCTAGGGCTTGGTTGCTGTCCTTGAACTTCTTGTGCTCAAGGCTAGCTCTCTATCACTGGAGGCACAGCTCCACTCTGGCTTTTTGGTGGTTAATTGAAGATAGGAGTCTCAGGGACTTTCCTTTTGGGGCTGGCTTTAAACACTGATCCTCACATCTCAGCCTCCTGAGCAGCTAGGGTCATAGTATTGAGCCACTGGCATCCAACTAAAAGCTTTGTAAGTATTGTGATCTTTGCCTTAAAGTGACAGAACTAACAGACCACCTACCAATGATTTAGAACCACAAATTCTGAGCATGGGATCTGAGGTCAAATCCAAGCCAGGTAGAACATTCATTGTGAGATAATAATGCAGGAACCTTCAGCAGACATCCAAGAAAGAGTTCTTTCTTTGAAAGGGACTAATTCATTTATTTAACAAACAATTACTGTGTGCCAAACTCTGTTCCAGACCTTTCCAGAAGCTGTGGCTTTCTTAGAAGGAGGAAGTTCTTGCACTACTAGGAAACATGAAGTTGTGGGATAGACAAGAGGAAGGGACCCAGTCCAGACTTCAAGAATCCCAGCACCATGCTGGAGTGCCGCTAACGACTCTGTGTTTGGCCGGCCTGTGAAGGCTTTCATGGTGGAGCAAAGCTGGAAAGAGGCATGGGAGATGATGAGGCTGCCTAGGGCCTTGGTGGCTGGATTTTGAAGTGCCATGTATGTTACGGAGACGGTTGGGTGAGAGGGATTGGGAGCATAATGGATAGAGACAGGATGGAGGAGGTAGGGTGTGGCATACAGTAATAACTCCCAGCATGAGAATGACTGTGCCCAATGTCTCTTAGAGGCATTAAAGGATGCAGTGACTGTGGGTGTGGTGGAGAGGGAAGGACACTGAGGTGTTCTGGTTGAGGCTCCTAGTGGCAGGGGCCTGTCACTGGGATGGATTTTGGAGAAACACAGTTGGAAGCTGAGGTGTACACTAGGCGACATTATTCCTAAGGTTACACTTTGATCACTACTTTTTTGAGTCACTGCTTGCAATCTAACTTAAGTTCTAGTGATGTTTGTTATAATATGAAGGTGTCAGTAACAATGATTACTACACTCAAAAGACTCACTTTCTTTTTCCTTTCCTTTTCCTTAAAAAAAAAAAAGTGTCACTGAATTCAATCCTTGTGCCCCTAGCCCCAAGACCCACTTTGTATGTCTTTCCAAGGAGGAAAAAGAAAAACTATTCATTTTTTCCTTTTAATTATACTGTTACATATGACTGTGTGTTTGTTGGAAAGTTTATGTATAATTTATGTAATTATATTATAATATGTATAATATATGCAATACAATATATAATATAAAATATATAATATATTATAATAATATAATTTAGTGTTGCTGGGTTTATTACATTTATGTTCTCAGTGTTGTCCCTGGAACCATTTTTTTCTTTCTGGCACCAGGGTTTGCACTCAGGACCTTGTACTCACTTGGTTGCTCCACTGATACTCCACACCTGAGCCAGGCATCCAGTCTGGCTTTTCACTGGTTATTTTGGAGGTTCAGTCTTGAGGACTTCATTGACTGGGCTGGCTTTGAGTTGAGCTCCTTCTCATCTCAGCTTCCTGAGTAGTTCTGATTTAGGGTAAACTGCTGGTGCCTGGCTTCCTTTATTCTTTTATTTTTTATTTAATATGTATTTTTTTTGTAAAGATACTATACAGAAGGTCACAGTTACCTGAGTAAGGTAATGGCACATTTCCTATAGAGCATTGTTACCCCCTCCTTTGTTTTTTTCCCTTACTATCACTTCCCTCCCCATCTACCCAACTTCTCCCTCACCACACCCTGAAGTTGTCAAGTTCATTTTCAACATAGTGTCTTGTACATCTCATTGTTACAGTGGGTCAACCTGTGTCCTTATTTCAGCATTTTGTTATTTCCCTTTATTCTTTTAAAAAGAGCTTTAGTATATTTGAGTTTTATCTATCGGCATATACCACATTACAAATTAAAACTGAGAAGTTAAAAACACATAATTTGGGCTGGGAAGGTGGCTCAGTGGTAGAGTGCTTGCCTTGCATGCATGAGGCCCTGGGTTTGATTCCTCAGCACCACATAAACAGAAAAAGCGGGAAGTGGCGTTGTGGCTCAAGTGGTAGAGTGCTCTCCTTGAGCTTGAGGAGCTGAGGGACAGTGCCCAGGCCCAGAGTTCAGGCTCCATGACCGACAAAAACAAAAAACAAAAAACCCCAATATATTTTGATATAGATTATATACATTTTACTAGATTTTGGGTAGAATGGTTAAATGTTTTTATATATCTTAATGGTATAATTTCATCATGTATTTTCATACATGTATATATGTAATGTACTTTGATAATATTCACCTCAGTATCCTATCACACTGGTTCCCTTCCTCTGTCCAAGGTCCCCCTTCTTCTCTCATAGTTTTATTTTTTTTTTTTTGGTGGCCTGTATGATCTTTAAATTTGTTTTTTACCAGTTCTGGAGCTTGAAGTCAGGGCCTGGGCACTGTCCCTGAGCCTCTCTGTGCTCAAGGCTGTACCACTTGAGCCAGAGCATCACTTCCAGCTTTTTCTGTTTATGTGGTTCTGAGGAATCAAATCCAGGACTTTATGCATGCTAGGCAAGCACTCTACCACTGAGCCACATTTCCAGTCTTAATTTTTTTTTTTTAAAAATTAGGCAATGTACAAAGGGGTTACAGTTACATAAGTCAGATAAAGAATATATTTCTTTTTGGATAATTTTACCCCTTCTTTCACTCTCTCCCAGTTTTTAACCTCCCATCTTCCCCACCTCCGGGGTGTATGGTTCATTTTCGACATGATGTCTAGTGAGTAGCACTGATGCATTAGTTCACCCTTTGTCCCTCCATTTTTGTGCCCTTCCATACCCTTCCAAAGACAGATAAATGAATAAGCAAGACAAAAATAAAAGAAAAATAAAATATCCACAAAGAAAAAAAGCTTCTTGTTTCCATTCCTGGAGTTCATCTGACCATATAAAATAAGTTTTATCAAAATGAACTCCAGGAAGTAGAAACAAGAGGTTTTTTTCCTTAGTTGCCATTTTTTAAATTTCCTTTTGTCTTGTTTGTTCCTTTGTCTGTGTTTCGGAGGGTAAGTAGGGGCACAGAATTGGTGGGATGAAAGGTGAACAAATGCAGGAGTGGTGCTCATTAGATACCATGTTGAAAATGAATTATACAACTTGTAGGTGGGGATGGGAGGGAAAAACTGGGAGAGAGAGAGAGAGAGATAAAGAGAAAAAGGGTGACATTGTTCAAGAAGAAATGTACTCTTCGTCTGAGTTATATAACTGTAATCCTTTTGTATATCACCTTTACAATAACAATACAAAAGAGGATTCTCCTTTGTTCTCACTGTGTGTGAATGCTCAGGGTCTTTTTAATTTATCATGCCTCTACATGTCTTATGTCTTTAATGTTTTTATTGTTATTATTAAAGTAATGTACAGAGAGTTACCATTTCATAAGTCCGATAATGAGTACATTTCTTTTGGGGCCATTCTTTTTTTAAAGACTAGATTCTGAATATGAGAAAATTCAATATTTTTCTTTTTTAAATATGACTAACATAATGATATTCAGTTCCTGCAAATGCAGGAAATGCACTCTTTATGACTACATAATACGCTATACTGTAGATATGCCACATATTCATTATCCAATCATCTGTTGATGGGCACCTGGGCTAATTCCATAAGTTGGGTTTTTGAATAGTGCTGTAATAAATATGTGTGGTAGCACAGTTTTAAAAGAAAACAAAACGTATCTCTCCCCGCAAATTAGTGAAAAGAATAGCAAATCTATTCTATAGAAGGCAAAATATTTTCATGACTCCTTTTGCCTTCAACCTTTCATGATGTAAGTCTTGTACCCTTGGAAAACTTCAACATATACCAGTAAGAGAAAGAGAGGGGCAAAAGCAAATGATGGCTTTATGTCATGAGGAAAAATAGTTCAAGCATCGCAGATCACTGAAGGGATCTCAGGGATCCCAGGGGTTCCTGTACTACACATAGCAGACATTGAACTGGTTCCAACAGAGAGATGCCAGGGCCAGTGTGTAACTGGCTTTGGGAAAGATGCTGGGAAGTCTCAAGTGGGGAATCCAAGTCTGACTTCTCATCCATTGCAGGTGTGCCCTGAAGCAGCTCTGTAGAGTTATTCACATTGTGTAGCTTTCTGGACCTCCGTTATATCACCTGGGAGATGAGAGGACTAGAATATATCCAAGTATTCTTCCTGAACAAAGAATACATAAGTTGTTGAAGGAATTTCCATATTGAGTGGAAAAACTAGACCAGAATTCATGGGTCACAATTCTATCCATATGCAGGTCAGGTGTCCTGCACTGGCAAAGCAGACTGATGAGAGATGGGGTGGAGGGGTGGGGTCCATGATGAGCTGGAGTCATCGTAGCCTGCAAGGAAATAACATTTTGACTTTGTGATGTGTGTGTTATTGGAATCTTTTTTTTCCTAACTCAGCGCCTCACACTTGCTACACTGTCATTGTATCACTTGAGCCATGACTCCAACTTAGTTTTTTTGCTGGCTATTTTTGAGATAAGGTCTCACTTTCTACCTAGGTGTATGCCTAAGTTTCTGTCTATTTTAGACTTCCAGTGGTTACTAGGGTCAGACACAGGCCACTAGGTTCAGCTTCCTTTCCAAGAGATGGTGTCTCAGCCTTTTTTCTGCCTGGACTTGACTGGTCTAGATCTAAGATCTTACCAATGGCAGCTCTCATGTAGCACAATGGGATGCCCGGTGTGTGCTACCATACTTAGTTGTGAGATTCTCTTCTCTTCTCATGAAAACTTTTGCCTGGACTGTTATTTTCCTGTTCTTAGTCTCATTACAAGCATGAGCCACTAGTACTCAATTTTTTTTATTTTTTAATATAGGGCCTTACTCTGTAGCCTTGTTTAACCTCAGAGTTATA